CCCCCAGGTAACTAGGGCACTGGGTCTAGTCAAGACCTATGTATTCTCATATTCTGCTACTGAGGGTACGGTTATCCAGTTAGGATACTAATAGTGTAGTAATCAGAGGTGCCAAAAGCAGATTATCATCCAACTTTATTTACAAAGCAGAAAAAATCATACGGTGAAAGGATTAAAAAGAAATTAAAGTGGCAAATGCAAACCTTGAATTTCAGCAACTCGCTCGCCCGCCTCTCGACGGCATCGTTCACTTAACGCTTCCATTTCCTTCAACTTGTTTTGAGATCCATTGTACAAAAAGACCATATAAACTAGCAACAACAAAAATACGGCATATAGCACGTTTTTCACTGGAAAACCACCCCTGTTATGCATGGCTAAATCAAGTTTTCCTTCCACCATTAAGGTTTGTACGCAGAACAACAACCTGTACAGTGACAGACTTCACTCAACTCTGTCCGCCATTAATAAAAACAACACAAAACAACATGGCGACGTGTCGCAGATCTCATTGCCAGTTTTCCTTCAGTCGGGATGCCAAACACAGAGTTTGCTTTCGTTTCTTAGAGAAAATCGGAGCAGGTGGTGTGATAAAGCATGAAATTGTAAACAAGAAAAGGAATAGAAATGAAGAAATTATCTTTCCGAGAGTAAGATGATTACTTCTCCCTCCGAGACCTAACTTTGACTACACACTCTGCGGAACATTACAGCAACTGCCACAAACCTGCACTTATCACTAGGCTACATGACATATTATTGGACAGATAAGGGCGAGAGCCCAGCTGTTGGTGGATCGATAACAACAACAACAACAACAACAACAACAACAACAACAACAACAACAACAACAACAACAATAAGAGTAAGGTGATAATTCAAACAAATAATTATTATGATATGATTTCGTCGTATAAATACATACCGGACTGATAGATTGAAGGAGCAGATTCCTAATACATGTAGGGCCTACATATTGTACACACGCAACATCATCTATGCGCTCACGCTTGAGGACGCCTGATAAAGAGCCGGACGCGCGCACACACACTCACGCAGGCACACACACACACACACACACA